TTAGGGAGGCAGTGGTCCTTCGTCCTGGAGACGTGCCCTGCCCAGTGCAGCTGAATTCTCAGCAACATGGCCTCAATACTTGTGACAGCTGCTTGTTCTAGAACAGATGTATTGGTCACATAATCTGACCAGCGGATGTTTAGGATTGAATGGAGACAGCGTTGATGGAAACGTTCTAGGAGTTGCAGGTGGTGGCGGTAGATGACCCATGATTCGGAACCATATAAAAGAGCAGACAGCACTATGGCTCTGTAAACACTGATCTTGGTACTTTTCTTCAAGTGTTTATTATGCCATACTCTTTTATGAAGCTTTCCAAAAGCACTATATGCCTTTGCTAACCTGTTGTCTATCTCTCCGTCAATCTTACCATCTGAGGAGATGAGGCTGCCTAGGTAATTAAACCTACAATTATAAAAAAAGGACAGCTTTAAGGTCACCATTGTTCTAAGGCAAAATACAAGTTGGCAGTAACAATTCCAATAACAATAGGCCGGAACAAACCCCTAGGTCTACTCTGAAATCGGTCACCTACATAGGAAGTCAGAGGCACATCACACCTGAAGTTACAAGACCTGTTACTGAACTAAGCCATTGCAAGCTGACAAAGAAACAGAACTACCAGGAAACCAATGTTATCAGACATTTGAAACAAAAAGCGTGTAATCTTGAAGGTCCTCTGGATCGCACTTTATGTTTGGTGCTTAGAATGGGTAGAGATCTACACTGAGCAGACTACAACAGAACAAAACCTGCTCTAGCTAGTCTTTTTATTTCTGTAATAATCCAGGAAAACCATAACTAAGTCTACTTAAGCATTTATCACCAACAAACAATTCTGACAGAACTAAAATATAATCATTCCTCCCGCAGGCTAATGAGAGAATGGCTGGAGCTAAATGGTATCCCATAATAATTTTACGTGTATGAAGCGTTCCATTTCATTTAGTGATATTATAAAAGTGATGCATTGGCCATAACATTTACTGTTTACAATCTGCAGCAAGCTATACCCTTCTCAAGGGAGATTAAGTAATCAAGAAAACATTATTCACACTATGTATTTGAGAAAAGTAGATCACTCTGCCAATTACAGACTCTTTCCTATATTAAGAAGGATGTATGCTAGCCTAGAGAGAGGGGAAAGAGAAGATTGGAGATCTGTTTGCTTCTCAACCAAAAAGGAGGTCATACGTTCACACATTAAAAAAAGTTTTCCTTTAGTCCAGCAACGCCTGAAGAGAAAAAAAAAAATAAATGCTGGTTTTGAGTAGCTGCTGAAGACACTTCATTACAGTGAAAGAAATCTTAAAACTCTGACAAACCATACAGTGACTCACAGGACTACAAACAGAAAGATCCAGAAGTAGTCAGATTGCAATTTTGTTTCCAGAGTATCCATTAGAGGCAAATATTTTAATGATAACATTTCTTTTGTTAATATTGCTTATGCACCATTTTCCACTCAAAGATCACAGTGATCGATACAGGCTGTAATGAATGAAGTGTAACATCTCCAGAAAACAGATGCTACATTATTCATTTCACAGATAAGTAAATGCAAGTATGAAAAATTAAGTGACTTGTTCTAGTCAGAGAGCCAAAAGCACAGCTGTGAATCTAATCCAGATATCCCAGCTTCCAATGATCCATTAACCACTAGACATTAGCCCTTCTAAAACAAAATGTAACCTTTCCCTCACATTTCACCCTCTTTCTAACAGGTCTGGCAAAGCTAGTACTAAGGATGTTCACTTCATGTGGTTGACTTTTAAAAAACCAAAATATTAGAAATAAAAAACCCAAGCAAACAAACAAACAAACAAAAAAAAACACCACAAAACAAAACAAAACCCCCTCTACTTCACTGCATGAATTACAGAGCTCCCAAATCCTTCACCGTAGGGCTCAGTTACCCATCTCTGCCCTCCCAAGAGCAGAGTCAGCAATAGCTCACAGATTTAAAGCCACTGGTCAGGCGCAGGTTTGGTAGGAGGTATCAGGGTCACACATCATCCCAGCACAACATCTGCTGCAGTCCTGATTCACGGCAGGCACTTATACCCAGGAGCTGCCACTGCTGCATCCAAACGAGAGAAAGAAATGGATGGGATCATCAGAGAAACATACACTGGCCCAACAGCTGTTTCTCCACATGTCCTGTCTCACATGGACAGTTACTTATCTTTCAGCTGCCTTCTTCAAGGCTCTCAGCACAGACATTGTGCAACAGCCTGGTGACCCAAAGCCCAGTAAAATTTTAAAAACACTCATCAACACTCCTGTTACACTAAAGGCTTTAGAGTGGTGGCACTTATGACTTATGTTGTCTCAGATCAGAACCTACTCCATGCAGGTAAGTACTGGTAGAAAACTCTCTGCTTTAAGAAATCCCTAATGGTCTCAGGAAGATTTCAAAGGCCAGCAAAGCCTTTAGGCAGGAAGGGAAGGTAGACACAAAACCACTGACGACAAAACGCCACCAGTCAAAGAAGGTTAAGGAAAATGAATATTATTTAGACATGACAGCAAACAATCACAATTTGATTGTCACCACTTATAACCTCAAAAACAAATTAGTAGAAACTTGAGAACAGCACACACAATTAATCAATTTAACAGCACATATTTTTCAGATATTTCATAAATACAAAAATCTCCCTAAGTGTTGGAGTACTTATCAGACGTATGCAGTATGTACTCACAGTCTCCAAGATTAGATTTGCAGAACGTATCAATCACTTAAGTATTTAAAAAAAAAAAAATCACTAAATATTTCAGATATCCATGCTTTAAAACGTTTGTCTGAACACACAACAGGAAACCTATGTTACTTTTTAAGCATAAGTAATGAGCCAGAGATTTAAAAGTATTGAAAAAATCCTAGTATTGAAAAATCAAGAGCTGTTTCCTAAATTGCTGTAGTAAGTTAGAGGACAGATCTCAGACCCAAAACTAAAATCACTCATGTTTTCATTCAAACATACAACACTTAAATTTCAGAAATAAATTATCAAGATGATTAAGAAAGAACAAGGTCAAATTTTACCTTATTGCAAAATCACACCATAAAACAAGGTGAATGAGGCAACAATTTGTGCATTGCTATCGGTGTACTACAACTTGTCAGCAGGACATTAACTCTTCTTATAATACAAAGGTCAAGGCCATTGGAAATGCAACTGCATCAAAGCCTTTGGAAATACCAGCGAAGTAAATAAGAACACTCAAAGGAAGGGTACAGGGTTTCAGTTTTATGTGAGTAAATACTTTTTGTTTCCAGCATGACACATCAGGTTGGTCAGTAGTGCACTCTGCAACATATATGAATTTTAAAAATTAATGGATTTAATCCTGCTGACCCTGGGCATGACTATATTCCTACTGGTGTCCCACAAGCCACAGGCTTACAGAATTAAGCCTGAAGTAGCCCACTTAAAATAACAAAAAAAAACCCTACCAACAAACTCTTACATCACAGCTCCACCACAAAACTTCCCACCAGTCCCTAAAATGCTGCATTTAAATTTAATTCACAAATAAACCAGCAACTACCACACATTGAAGAGACACTCTAAAGCTAACATTGAAGCTTCACTTCAGCACTGCAGATCTCTATGATACTTCTATGACTGTGGTGGAAACTTAAGAGCCCAAATATATTGTGCTTTGGTCCTCCTATTCCCTTAATTCCATCAACTGACCTCACAAAGACAGAAAAACATTTTTCTCTTGTCCCTCCTCTTTATCATAATATCACAACCTCCATTTATAAACAAGTCAACAAATCCCCTCCACCGGCATTTTCTAAAGTCAGGTATTTTCCATTTTTTATTGACAAGTTGATTTGTTTCTTCCAGAAAAGTCTACTTAAATAAATAAATCACCCTTGCTGAAAATCATGTTTCTTTAAAAAAGCTATGTTAGTCCCCTGTACTCATTCTCTTCGCTCAATACAACCAGATTTAGAGACAAAGAGCTTGGAAAACAAATCTTGTTGTTATATTATTACACCATAATTGTGGAGTTGCTAAGGACCACTACACAGCTACAATTTCTGTTCTTTGAAAGAAAAGCAGAACACCTGTTTTAAACAAATGCTAATTTTCCTCTTACACCTGTTTAAAAATACTATGCATACTGAACTTGGATTCTATTAATGTTACTATACTTGCAGTTATAGCAAACACAGTTCTATCAAATAAAAAACACCAAAAAACAATCAAAACACTCAAATCCACAACCAAAAAGCCGTTGGAAAATTGCGCTTCTTTTTTTCTCTTCATTTTGGTAAGCTTCTGGAGTTTTATTGAATATATAAAAAACCCCACTGCCATTCAGTTCTTGTTTTACAGTCAAAGAAAACGCTGCTCAACAATCCCCGTTTCTGCTTATTGGCAGGAATGCAAGTCTTCCATTAGTTTGCCTTAAAAACTGAAAGAGTGGATAAAGAGCTTAATAACCCTAAAATTCTCAACAACATAAAAAACTCGCAGCTCCCAGCTGCATATTCCAAAACAGAGAATGCTTCCTAAAGCTCCTGGTAACAAAATACAGCTCAGAGCAGTGCCATTTTGAGTTTTTAAGCTGTGTAGTTCCCCCGCTTTTTTCCACCGTTTTCCTTGCCATATAGTTCTTCATATTAAAAAAAAAAAAAAAAAAAACACACAACTGTTTGGGGTTTTTTGCACCGCGTGGGGAAGCATTGCACGTGGCGTCACAACGAAGCAACTTCCGAATGACAGCGCATAATCGCAGGGAAAACCTGTTGCGGTAGGGAAAGGAGGATCCCGGAGCGGAGGCGAAACCTCACGGCCCCAGGACAGCGCGTCCCCAGGGACATCCCAGTCACGGCCCCGGCTCCGGGCGCCGTGCGGCGATACCGACCGCCGACTCCCGACAGCGAGCGGAGCCCAGAACTTCCCCAGAGCTTTGACAAGCCTCCCAGGGCTGCGGGCGACCCCGGCCCCGCCGATCCCCCCGCTTCCCCCGGCACTTACCGGGCGGTGTCGAGCAGCGGGTGCTTGGTGCCCACCAGCTTGCGGACCTGCATGGCGATGTTGCTGAGCTCGTCGCTCAGCAGGCACCGCAGGCTCATGAAGGATGTCGGGTAGCCCACGATCTTCTCGGCCTCTGACACCACTTGGCTCCAGGGCGGGCCGCCCGACGACACGGACCGCAGCCCGCCGGTGCCACGGACCCCGCTCCGCAGCAGGGCGCCCCACATGCCGCCTCCCCAGGGAGTCTCCGCTCTCCAGCTACGAGCCCCGGCAGGGCCCCGCACGCCGAGCGGGCACGGACGAGTGTCCCTCGCGGAGAAGCGACCCGGCTATGTCCCGGCCGGCCCTAAGCCCGCATTCCCCCCGGCGGCGGCCGGAGCGGGTTCATTTTGCCCTGGGGGCGGCCATCTTGGGCGTCGCAAAACGCGCTGGGCCGCAAAGCGCGGGCGGCGGGCGGGGCGATGTGTCTGGGCGCTTGGAGGGGGCGTCTCTTGTTGTCCTGCATCCTCAGCCCGGGCGGTGGGGAAAGGGACAGCGCTTCTCTGACCCATTCTAGGCTTGTCGCCTCCCGGAGCTTCTGGAGAGGGAGCTCTGCCCGCGCCTGGCTCCTGGCTGGCTGGACGCGTCTCACAGAACTGAATGTGGTCAGTCTGCGCCCAGGGTTGTGTAGAGAGATTGGCGGAGAAGAGGTTCACACCTAAAGTGTTCAGCCTGTAGTCCTTGGCCACACAGTCATGTTTTCTATAAAACTTCTTCACTTTTAGGGCCAGGCATTGGAATAGGTTGGAGTCACCATCCCTGGAGGTGTTTGAGAGGCGTCTGGATCTGCTGCTGGGTGATGGGGTTTAGTGGTTTAGGGGTTACAGTGGTAGTACTCAGTTGATGGTTGGACTGGATGATCTTAAAGGTCTCTTTTGGCCTTGATGATTCTGTGATTCCATAATTGCAGTGTACAGGTGTTCTTTTTTTGTCTCTTCCCAGAGTTGTTTGGGATGTGGCACGTTACTGCATGTTCTGCCTTTCCTTATGGGTTCATTCCATGGTGCTCCACTGGGACACAGATGAGGGGTTTATGAACAGCCTCCTTGAGAGCTGAAGAGGTACTTACAACTAAACAATTAATATCAAAATTGGCAGCTAATTCTGAAGACTTCTGAATCCCACAATTCTACAGTATGGTCTGCACTGCATGGTGTGTCATGTAGCGTTTCATTTATTCTGAGCACAGCCATCACGATGCCTCTTTGCAGCTACCTGCACCCAAAGCTTTTGTGAATTCAGAGTCTGGATTTTCAGTACCCCAGAGGAGGAAGACTCACTGACCATCTTCAGAAATTGGATTTAAACAACTTCCTCAATCCCACAAATACTTCAGCAAGAATACGATCTGTTCTGTCTTTACAGTCACTTACATTCCTCCTATAACTTCAAGGCTTTGTCACAACAAATCAGGCAGAGTTCTGATGAGAAAATTGTCCCATTGACTACATTCACATGAAAAATGAGGGTGTTAAATTTCTTATCTTTATCAATACAGGAGACAGGTCCCTTTTATTTTGTTTGCACTGTTCCATATGATTAAAGAGAGTTACATTGAAGGATACTGCAAAAGAAGATGCAAATAGAAAACAATTGCATCACAAATAAAGATGTCTGGGGAAAGTGCAAATAACTCTTGGAGTTACAAGGGGGAAGCTACTAAAAAGGAACACCCTTACCTGTTTTTCAATGGCAATGACAAGGTGTTTATTGTTCTTGTGCCTGAGACAATTCCAAGACTTTAAAAGGTACTGTCCTAGGGAAGAGGCTTTGACTGTGGAGTCAACAACAACTGGACATGTCTGTGGCATTTTGTAAATGTCCTCTCCCAAACTGGAGAGAGGCAAAACTAGAATAGAGAAAACTTGTGAGAACTGGGAAGGTGACATATGAGTTAAGGTTCTGGTGTCAAATCTTTGCTTTCTGTGCTGCCTGTTCACTGAGACAATAAAGCTTTTCTTTGAAGGAGCTGCCATTGAGGCAGTTTAGTTAGCTGGTGTCACAGAACAAACTGTTGCTAAATAGGGCATTTCAGCTCATAAACACAGTTTAGAAATGACAGAATGCAGTGGCATGTTTCTGTGCAGAAAGAGTAAGTTAATGAAAATTGCCGGAGGGATGCACTTAAGAGTTGCTACTAAGACACCTCATCCTGTAATGGTGACAAGTTCCTTGATTCATTTCCTGAGCCATATCCATTCTTGCACTTAATGTGGTAACTGTTCTGTGAAAAACTAACATGATTATGCAATTAAAGTCTGCTTAAAATAATGCATATAAACTGAGGAGAATTAGGGTTCTATGGGCAGCAAACCTACCATCTCCTAACGTGTGAGACTTTCACTTTTCCAAATTTCTGTTCTTTGTGTTAGTCTAAAAAACTGAACACCTCTGCAAACTTTATGTGGAACTCTTCTAAGTCCAAATGTTTTTGGACTAGGGAAAGACCCTTGATATCCACAACACCACACACTGCCACTACAGCTTCCTCAGGATTCATCAGCAGTAGGTTGATGTTCTTTAAGTGCAGCAATCACTGGAGAAATAAAGCAAACACTTTGTCAGTGAGTTTTATAGCTTTTTTTTTTATTAGTTTTTGACCACAGAGACTCTTTGAAAAGACTGTGCTGTAATACCCAAGGACTTTCCGTCTCCCAGTCCAATCCCTTCATCCCTTTCCCTTCTCTTAAGAACCTGAGAGTCTTAATTCAGTAGTTCATTTTTAACTCCTGGACCATGCTCATGGTTTCTTTCTCCTAACATCCTCATATCTTTGCCTCAGTCCTACACACCATCCTTACAGGCTACTGCTCTTTCATTCTTGTCACAGCCTCATCATTTTTTGCTCATTAAGTTCCACTCATCCTCTTGTCTGCACAGCTTGCATCCTAATAGTGGGCTCTTCTTATCGTACATGTTTATGGGTGGTACCCATCAAATCCTTGGCAAATCCTTTGCCAAATTTCAGGTTTAGTGCATGGAGAGTTTCTCAGTCATGCAACCCAACGACATTTTTTAATGGAAGAAAAATGTATTTTTTTGCCAACGTCATTTTGCAAACTGACTGAACTATTTTAAGAATTAGCTTCAGGCTAACACACCAATCACAGAAAAAAAGTCATTACAAATTAGCTAATATTTTACAGATATAGGCATCAAAAAACAAGGCTGTATAATGGGCAATGATGGACCAGCTTACCCATAGGCATTACTGTTTGCACTGCCTGTTCCTGAAGCCGAGTTTCTCAGTTTTTTTCTCAAAAAAACCATCAGGAGTAAAAGTATCAAAAGTATGATGTACTTACCGTAGTTGTGGACAAAACTGCATGCTTTTTTTTTTCTTTCCTTCTTTGCTCATTTCCCTGCAGGATTCAAGAGAAAAACCCACACTATTTCAAGAGCTTCAGTGACTGTACAATAGATGTGTCTATTTCTTTAGGGTCTTACGCAGAGAAAAAACCTGAAACTCTTTCTTTTCTCTATCAATTGACTTTTTTAAGCCTCCCCGGGAGGAGAAAGAAGCCACTAAAGGAGGCAAAGTTGAAGAACAAAGATAACAGGTCAAGAGACACTTCTGTTTACATCAGCATGCTCTGGACCAATGTACCAGAGAATACATCAAAGCCACTACTAATGCCAGCTCTGGATAGCTTTTCTAGCAAATGAAAGGTGGAAATATTTTTCTGACTACCATCTAAATTAAAACAATTGCAAAGTGTTCTCATTTGATTGGGAACGTTTGACCTTCCAATCTTTTGTAGTTACCCTGGCCTTATCCAAAATGAATGATGTCCATAGGAGAATGAGACTGGCAATGTTAATATATTATATTAACTATACCCTGCCTATATAACCAAATCCTCTAGCTGTTGCTTAATTATTTAACGTGTTAATACTTAGGTGCACTCTAAGGCTGTTTACAAAAATGCATACTAACAGAAATATGTCTGTTCCTTCCAAAGCATCCAGGTAGTTTTTGTTCCCACACACCTCCTTCCCCTCCCTTCCCCCTTCTCTGAGAATTTATTTACTCCATAGCATCCTTGGGAAGCAGACAGTTATGTTCATTTCCATTTTGGAAGTCAGGAGGTTTAGCAGAGAGGTTGTGTGATTTGTCCAAGGCTTTGCAAAAGCCCGAAGGCAAACTGAGAAAAGAATTCACTTCTCTTGACCTCCTTGTCTGTGTCTTGTCTACAAGGCTCCTTGTCTTCCTACCACCTGACAGACTACCGACAAGGATGAAGGCCTTATTGATCCCATAGTTAGATGCTGAAAAAACACCACATTTAACATCAGTTGGTTTCAGTAGGAGTCATGTCCCTTGCACAGAATTTGACACTAAAAGTTATTAATTTTTAAGCCTACGTATGCCAATATGAGAACATGCTGGTTAATAAATAACAAATGCATAACTATTTTTGTTTAAAACAAATAAATAAATATAGATGTGATATATAGGAATCCTTTGAAAGAGTAGGTGTATGTTACCCTTTGCACACAAAGCACAGTGATACAGTAGCTCATCGGTGCACAGCGCAGATGAGAAGCCAAAGCTCCAAGTAGCTCCCAGCAGTGCAGCACAGGCAGTGGGACATGCCCCTCCCATGCTGCTTTCTCACAGAACACAGTTCCCTCTTCACTGGCTCGTCAGTCAGCACTGCAAAAATAGCAAAATCAATTGAAGTCGCTCCATTTCAGCAAGCTGAGTATGAGCAGGGGCAGACAAGTGTGCAGCCGATCACACCCCTCCTTCGCAGAGTCACTGTTTTTTCACCTCCCAACCCAATTTCAATTGTAAGACAGCCTCTTAGGCCATTTCCTCTGACAGGCAGAATCCCACTCAGGGGAATTTGGACAGAGACTCTCAAAACAGCAGCGATTTGGAGCCAAGTAATCTACAGAAGAAGGAGGAGGAAGATAAGCACATTGTTAGTTCTGGTCATACGCAATCGAAGCTGACAAAGCATCCATCATCCTGTACAATATTAGCCTTTAAATATTCAGCTTTATCAGTTCGCCCATTCCTAATCCATCATTAACTACCCCATGAAGCCTCAGCTGATTAGCCCCACCTCTGCAGCTTGGCAACCCATTAACTATTTATTATTTGTATTTAATTGAACACTAGTAGCAGTGGAAAACTCCAGCCAGACACATATCAAAACCAGAACAAAGGAAATGATCTCTTGCCTAAGGAGTTCATGTTTTGGGCAAGAGCGAAATGACAGCCATGCTGAACAAAGGCTTACCTATGTGCCCATTACTAAACTCTGTTTAGTAATTTACCTCACAAATCTGTAGATTTTCTATGGATTTTTTTCATCTCATATCCCTTAAAATCATAGAAGACGTGATTTGGGAGGGTCCTGCAGAA